AAGAAGATCTAACCTCTCCATTCTCAAGGAAATCAGCCCTGAGTGCTCACTGGAAGGACAGATCCTGAAGCTGAGGCTCCAATACTTTGGCCACCTCATGAGAAGAGAAGACTCCCTGGAAAAGACCCGGATGCTGGGAAAGATGGAGGGCACAAGGAGAAGGGGACGACAGAGGACGAGATGATTGGATAGTGTTCTCGAAGCTACCAGCATGAGTTTGACCAAACTGCGGGAGGCAGTGGAAGACAGGAGTGCCTGGCGTGCTCTGGTCCATGGGGTCACCAAGAGTCGGACACGACTAAACGACTAAACAAGAACAACAACATATATATATAATAACCAAAATTCCCAATGATTCCCTCACAAAAAATATAATATCTATATTACAAAAGCTGCATAATTATAGTTAATTATAAAACCCACTCCCACCCTCTACTTCCCTCCACAGCAATCCGACTTCTTTATATTTCTTTCTAACTTTCCCCCCTTGCATTCTGTAATTAATTATTTTTGTTAAATTCAGATTTTTCCTTTTTCTTTATTGGTTTTGTTATTGCTTCCATTTTTTATTCTAAGCCTATTAGCACATCACTTTTAGAACAATATTTTGACATATAATCTTCGAAATACTTCCGCTCCATCCTTAACTTTTGATTTGATTGGTATCTTATAATTGAAGTTAATTTTGCCAATTCTATATACTCACTTAATTTACAAATCCACTCTTTTTTGGTGTGTCCTGAGATTTCCATTTACTGTACAGTGGTACCTCAGGTTAAGTACTTAATTCGTTCTGGAGGTCTGTTCTTAACCTGAAACTGTTCTTAACCTGAAGCACCACTTTAGCTAATGGGGCCTCCTGCTGCTGCCGTAGCCCAATTTCTGTTCTTATCCTGAAGCAAAGTTCTTAACCTGAAGCACTATTTCTGGGTTAGCGGGCTCTGTAACCTGAAGCATATGTAACCTGAAACGTATGTAACCCGAGGTACCACTGTAGTAGCAATCAGGGAGGATGTCTTGCATTGTGTTCACACGTTACATTTGAGTGTGCAACCCGTGTTCACAGGTTGCATTCAGCAGGTGTGCACTGTGTGCCTGTGCCCATAAATAGCTGGTGTGCAAGGTTATGCACATGTAATCTCCAAGGTTCATGGAGTCCCGTGTATGCAGCAGCCGAGATTTGCAAATCAAGCAGTGTGCAATCTTTCGCAAACACTTGCAAATGCGTAGGGACAGTTTGTACTTGCGTTCAGTACAATGTGTGTCAGCGAATGGTCTGAAGACGAGTTCTGGGGAATGCATTCTACGGCAGACTGGCTTCTCTCCGATGGAAAGCTGGAGGGGGCAGAATCCCCCCCCCCCAGCCCAGAGCGTGTTCAGAAGCAAAGAGAGAGGCAGAAGCTGACCAGCTTAGGGAGGAGTTACACAGTTACGAGATAATGACGACAGAACCAGAAGGGAGGGGGCAGCTAGATGAGACGTCACTTGAGAGCATGGAGGACACCCCCCATCGGACTCGGAGGTCCGAATGTATCAGAGAGCAAAGGTGTCAGAGGGATGGAGGAAATTTCCGTTGGCACCCAAAATGGTGCGGAAGGAGGATTAGACTAGGCAACTGCCCACCTTGCAGAGAGCTGTTTATTTGTGCTTGCAACATGACACTGTAATAAAAGGACCATAAATCTATCAGCTGCTCGTTAATTCTGGTTAATTCATTAATGCTGGTTTTGACCTTTAATGCCCTATGCGGCCTAGGACCCACGTACCTACGGGACCGCCTCTCCTGGTATGCCCCGTGGAGGACCTTAAGGTCCACAAATGACAACATTTTGGAGGTCCCAAGTCGCAAGGTGGTTAGATTGGTCTCAACTAGGGCCAGGGCCTTTTCAGTACTGGCCCCGACTTGGTGGAACGCTCTGTGACAAGAGACTAGGGCCCTGCGGGACTTGACGTCTTTACGCAGGGCCTGCAAGACAGAGCTGTTCTACCTGGCCTTTGGTTTGGACTCAGTCTGACCCTTATGTTTCCCTCCCCTTATGGTTTTGATCTATGGGCTACTTTTTAAATGAGGCTGCTTTTTAAATTGTATTTAAACCTGTATTTTAAATTGGTCCCCCCCCATTATGTTTTTACTGTAATGTTACTGGTGTTAGCAGCCCTGAGCCTGGCTGAAGGGAAGGGAGGACTCTCCATGCCTGACAATGTGTGAACAAGTCTACTGAGTCAGACCAGTGCTCCTAGGAGCTCAGCCTTGTCTACACCAGGAATGTATAACACCCAGTAAAGGTAAAGGGACCCCTGACCATTAGGTCCAGTCATGGGTGACTCTGGGGTTGCGGCGCTCATCTCTCTCTATTGGCCGAGGGAGCCGGCATACAGCTTCCAGGTCATGTGGCTAGCATGACTAAGCCGCTTCTGGCGAACCAGAGCAGCGCATGGAAACGCCGTTTACCTTCCCGCCACAGCGGTACCTATTTATCTACTTGCACTTTGATGTGCTTTCGAACTGCTAGGTTGGCAGGAGCAGGGACCGAGCAACGGGAGCTCACCCCGTCATGGGGATTCGAACCGCCGACCTTCTGATTGGCAAGTCCTAGGCTCTGTGGTTTAACCCACAGCGCCACCCAGTAGAGAGGGTTTAATTCATCCCCCTAAAGCATTTTTGTTTTGTTCCCCCACTTAAGATTCCACCAATTTTGGCAGGGGAGGCAAAAAAGCAGCAGAAGAAAGCAGACACAGCAGCGATGGGATGGGCAGCACCGAGAGCCCTGGTGGGGATTCACCTGTCTCCTTTCCTGATAATCAGATTGATTATTTGAAGAACGGAAATGGGCTGATACAACCCCAGCTCCTCAGCTGGCCTGGATGGATTCGCTGAAGGAGGTTCTGGGTGGCAGCGTGGCTGCCTGCCTGTGACCGCAAAGTGTGGCCACACCTACTTTTGTCCACGCTCTCTGCTGATACGTGGCCCCTGGGAGGCTGATATGTGGCCCTCGGGTGAAAAACAGCTAGCCACCCCTGGTCTACATTCACCAGCGACATTTGTTTTGAAATTTGAGTGCTGTAGGTGTTTCTCCCTTTGGTCAATTCTCTCTCCCCACCTTGGGATCAGCCCCCTCCCCTTAAGAGAAAGAGAAAGTTCACACGCTAAACCTTTCGAAGTGATCTAGGTCAAAGATGGATCCAGTAGAGTTAACCTGAACCTTGAAAAGACCATAGAGCTGAAAGAGGAAGCGGGAAAGAGTGGCATCCTTCCAATTTCCTCCTCCAGATGTATTTTTCAAGAGAGAAAGAGGTAACCTTCCTCATCACCTCATGAGCAAGTGAGAAATTGTTCTGCCCGGACGCTGAGGTCCAGCGCTGAGGGCCTTCTGGCGGTTCCCTCACTGCAAGAAGCCAAGTTCCAGGGAACCAGGCAGAGGGCCTTCTCGGTAGTGGCGCCCGCACTGTGGAACGCCATCCCACCAGATGTCAAAGAGAACAACAACTACCAGACTTTTAGAAGACATCTGAAGGCAGCCCTGTTTAGGGAAGCTTTTAATCTTTAATAGGTTATTGTATTTTAGTGTTTTGTTGGAAGCCATTCAGAGTGGCTGGGGAAACCCAGCCAGATGGGCTGGGTATAAACAAACTATTATTATTATTATTATTATTATTGACCGTCATAAAACTTCATATCATACTTTTCGCTTTCAGAAATGAACATCTCTTATGGCCAGCTCTGATGCAACGTACTGCTGAACAGCACATTGCAGCCATTATACGCATTACCTGCTTTGGTCTCCCTACAAAAACATTTGCTCCCATTACCATGGACAACATTTTATTTACCTGTACAAACATCACAAACAGTTTTCAAAAATCCGTATTATTAACAAATCTAACCCGGCCGTATGGAATATGCGCACAGAGGGAGCTCTTCCATTGACCGGAGGGGAAAAAACAACAACAGATTATGGAGACCTATTGAATGAGCACCACTAGAAGTCCTATGTACATATGAGCAAAACGCCCATCATTAAGATAGGCAGGGCAAACAGTAGAGCTGTGTGTTGTAAAGATCAGAGTGGGAAGGCTGGGCCACATAGATTTGTGTGCTATTTGCAGGGTCCTTCTCAGTAGAGGCTGGGCCACCTGATACTGGGCAGAGTAATAAGTTAGGCTATGGCCAAGGCAAGATACACAGCAGACATGGAACTTCTGGTCTTAGTTATGCCACCACATGAGACACACTTATGCGAAGGATGGCGAACATCACCTTTTGATGTAAGTGGTCCATATCTCAGTGGCTGGACATCTGCTTTGCATGCAGAAGGTTCCAAGGTTCAACCCCCTGAAGACAGAATTGGGATTCAAGACGATCTTACCAGAATGTATTCCAATAGGGACAAATTTAAGGTTCTACACTTACGCAGGAAGAACCAGCCGCACCAGGATTGCCAGTAGTACATGTGAAAAGGATCTAGGGATTTTAGTCGACCACAAGCTTAACATGATTCAACAGGGTGATTCAGCAGCAAAAAAAGTGAATGCTATTCTAGGTTGCATCAACAGAAGTATAGTGTCCAGATCAAGGGAAGTCATAGTACTACACTATTCTGCCTTGGTCAGACCACACTTGGAATACGGTGTCCAATTCTGGGCACCACAATTTAAGAAGGATATGGACAAACTGGAACATGTTCAGAGTAGGGCAACCAAGATGACCAAGGGTCTGGAAACCAAGCCATATGAGGAATGGTTGAAGGAGCTGGGTATGTTTAGGCTGGAAAAGAGGAGACTGGGAGGAGATGTGAGTCATCTTCAAATATCTCAAGGGCTGTCACATGGAGGATGGAGCCAGCTTGTTTTCTCCTGCTCTGGAGGGCAGGACCCGAACCAACGGATTCAAGTTACAAGAAAGAAGATTCCGACTAAGCATCAGGAAGAACTTTCTGACAGTAAGAGAGTAACGGGTTGGTGGCAGCGGGGAAGTGAGCACAGTGGTGGCACAGGGATCAATAGACTGTTAAACGTCCGGGGACTCTGTGTGATCGCCACACCAGGGATTGAATTTGGGACCTTCTCCATGCAAAGCACATGCTCTCTACCGCTGACCCATGGCCTTTGGAAAGTGCAAGCATCAAACGAGAAACAGACAGTATCTCTTGGAGCTAAACGGGGCTGAGTTATCTCATGAGTCCCACAGAGAGAAAGAGAGCCCAACAACCTGGAGGAGCTCTCACAGGCCAGGAAAACCACACAGGAACTCGGCGATCCTGTGAGGTGGAACTCACAAGACCGAGATCTTGCAGAAGCCTCACCGGATCACAGCAAGATCTCGAAAGGACGAAGGAGGTAGATCGGGACACTAACGGAAATGTGGATAATAATAATAATTTATTATTTGTACCCCGCCCATCTGGCTGGGTTTCCCCAGCCACTCTGGGCGGCTTCCATAGAAACCAAAAATACACTATGGAGGACTTGCTACGATGCGGCTTACGTTGAAATCCAGTTCGTATGCAAACTGCTTGCAAATGGGCTTCAGAATGAGGGCTCTCAGCTGATCGGCACTGACAGCCCTCACCCTTAAAGTCCAGTTGTCTACAGTTTGAACGCAAACTGCTGCAAAAACGATGTCTCTCAGGACTCATCAGCTGATTGAAGCTGGCCACCCCATTGGCTGAATGAGAGCATGCCTGATGGCTTACTCCCTGGCTCAGCCAATCCCAGTGGGGCTCCCTGTCAGTGAAAATCAGCTGATTAGTCCTGAGAGGGAATAATGGGGAGCCCACTTTAAGCTCCTCATTCCTCCTTTGCAGATACGTCTACATCTGCCCTGATGCCATGTACAGTGTTTGGGGGCAGGCAAGTGGCTGTGGTTTGGAGAAAACACCCTCACAGGCCGGTTAGGATCCCTGTTGGGCCTTATAAGCTCTGAAGACCAGAGGTTCTCCACCACAGGGCAGAACGATGGAACTGAGTAAAAGGCCCCCAGGTTATCGCAGATATTCCCTTCTTAAGTGTTCCTCCTGGGACATCCACACCGTTCAGCAAACCACAGTGGCTCAGATCCAAACAACTGCGAGCAGGAGGCGAAAATGTATTAGTGCCGTTCTGTCAAACCACGGTGCAGTGTGTCAGGGGCTGAATTGCCAGCCATGAAACATGGTGAATGAGGAATATAGCCAGCCGTGGCATGTAAAAACTCTAGTTGTCTTGAAAAGAGCTTGTGCGGTGACAGTTCCAGGGGACTTTGGGGAAGATGTTCTCAGTGGGTCTTCCTCTCTGTGTATGCTATCCCCATCGTCCTCGCAGCTGTTGCCACTGCTCATTTGCTTGGGAGGAAATCACCATCTCCCAGCAGGACCGGTGCTCCCGTTGGACAGAGTGAGGCGGCTGCCTCGGGCGGCAGGCAGTAATTGGCAGCAGATGATGGAGGATACAGTGACGTGGGCCATGCAGCCTGCCCTACACCGGCTAAGTTGGTTGAATGCCTTCAGGTGCTGCCCAGTGAAGCCGCCCTCCAGCCCTGGCCTCCGAGCTTGTGCAAAATCTTGTGCGAGAGCTTCTTCAAACGAAAGAACTTCCCTGGAATTTGGGGTCACCTCTCTCGTGCAACCCTCTTCTGCCAGGTCGGAAGCAGCCCTTCTGTTATCAGAAGAGACTTTCCACCGGGAGAAGGGCACACTTGGATCCAGGCCACCACCTCCGTCGTCCGATGAGAAGCACGACTTCCGCCAGTTGGGAGTTTGGAGGCCATGGTTGTTGTTGTTGTTCTTGAACCACCTTGATCCCAGGGCACTGGACTATCGGGAGAGCAACTTTTCCATGATGGGGTTGGTAAAGGAAAAGCTTCGGAACATGTTTTGGTCCATGCTGTTGATGAGGCTCCGGTCCCCGCACGACAGCCGGGGTTTCTCGTTCAGAAATTCTTTGTCGAAGTTGCTACAGTCGCCAGGGGATTTCTTGCAGAGAGGAGAGGGAAAACAGAGTTAGAAGCATCAGAAATGGCAGCGGGAGAGTTGCACAATGTTTCTCAAACCTGGGTCTCCAGCAGACTACAACTTCCATCATCCCTAGCTAGCGGGACCAGTGGTCAGGGATGATGGGAGTTGTAGTCCATCGACAGCTAAAGACCCAAGTTTAAGAAACATTGCTTAAGCTAATGTGGTGCTTTCCAGGTGTTGTTGCTGGACTACAACTCTCATCGTCTCTGACTAGGCAGATGGGAGTCCAGCAACCTTGAGGGGGCAATATGGCACCTGCCCCTGCATTAAGAAGATGCTCTTGAACATCTTTAAAAACAGGGACAGGGATCCCTGTGGCTCTCTAACTCCCATCAGCCCCAGCCAGGATGAAGGGTGATGGAATTTATAGTCCTCCAAACCTTTAGTGATTCTCCCAAGCTCTTCCTGACCGCAGTGGTGGTCGGTGGCCATTTGGACCCATAGGGCAGAAGGAAAGGAGCCCAACAGTAGGTGGCGCCAGAACCAATGAGCTCTACTTTTGTGCCCATCCTCTCTGCTATTGAGTTCTACAAAAGGCAAGCTTGAAAGACAGCTAGCAAGCAGCAGCAGCACCTTCTGGACAGGTTGTAAATAAGAAGACAGACGGCAAGGGCTGGGCAAAGCTGGTGGGGTTGCGCCCCATTTGCCCTAATGGATCAGCCTCCCCCTGGTTTCTCTCACTGCTGCAACTCTAACTGATGTTTGATATTGTTATGTACTGAGTTGAATAGGATCCAAAATGCAGCAGTCTGATTGGTCCTAGAACAATAGGATCCAGAATGCAGCAGTCTGATTGGTCCTAGAACAATGGGATCCAGAATGCAGCAGTCTGATTGGTCTGCAGGACCCACCCAATCCAACTCCAGGTTTAGGTGAATCCGCAACCTGATTGGCCTACAGGAGAATCCCGGAATTAGCCAATCACGTGGGGCCCATTGTGTAAATAATGTTTATAAAGCAGACATTTTGGGGGAACTTCCATTTCTCACTACTATGAGCTGAATAAAGAGCATGAAATCCACACTCGACTCTGAGTATATTTCAGATATGTTTTTTGTTCAACGCTGTTTTATCATCCTTAAAACTGCCCTGGCATTTTAAAAAATATATACGGTATATGAAATGTTGCATAGAAATAATTTTAAAATGAAGCAAACAAAAAAAGTCTAAATAAAAATTTAAAAATAAAAAAATAAAAAAATTGTCCAGTAGCACCTTATAGACCGACTAAGTTTGTTCTGGTACAAGCTTTTGTGTGCATCTGAAGAAGTGTGCATGCACATGAAAGCCTATACCAGAACAAACTTAGTTGGTCTATAAGGTGCTACTGGAAAAATTTTTATTTTTATTTCGACTGTGTCAGACCAGGCTACCTATCTGAATCTAAAAAAAAATGAGTCTAAACATGGTAAGATTACAGTGGTGCCTCGCAAGACGAAAATAATCCGTTCCGCGAGTCTCTTCGTCTAGCGGTTTTTTCGTCTTGCGAAGCAACCCTATTAGCGGCTTAGCGGATTAGCGCTATTAGCGGTTTAACGGCTTAGCGGCTATTAAAGGCTTAGCGGCTTAGCGGCTAAAAGGCTATTAGCGGCTTAGTGGCTTAGAAAAAGGGGGGGGGAGCGAAAAAAATCGCAAGCCCATAGGGAAAATCTTCTTGCGAAGCGCATCAAAAAACGGAAAACCCTTTCGTCTAGCGGGTTTTTCATCTTGCGAGGCATTCGTCTTGCGGGGCACCACTGTATCTGGAGTCCACAAATAAGGAAACTCAACCACCTCCCCTCTGATCTGCAAGGGATCATTCATTTTTAGTTGCGAAGAGAAGCAAAGAAACTCAGAAAGGTTAAGGTTTCCCCCCCTCTCTCTCACCACTCTAGGCTTGAAAGGGGGTTCGACTGCTCTCACTTCAATGGCTTCCCAGTTGATTTCTTGGAAAAAGGGATGTTGGCGGATGTTCCCTTTGGCTCCCAGTCTCCTTTCCGGTTCTCTTACAAAAAGCTGGAAATCGAAAGAACACTAAATTAAAAAATCCACAGCACTGACTGTTGTTTGCTTCTTGTTTTTATTAAGTATTTTGTGCTTTTTCTCTTGGATTTTTATGTTGTGGACTGCCCTGAGAAGGGCGATATACAGTGGTACCTCGGGTTACATACGCTTCAGGTTACAGACTCCGCTAACCCAGAAATTGTGCTTCAGGTTAAGAACTTTGCTTCAGGATAAGAACAGAAATTGTGCAGTGGCAGCGCGGCGGTAGCAGGAGGCCCCATTAGCTAAAGTGGTGCTTCAGGTTAAGAACAGTTTCAGGTTAAGTACGGACCTCCGGAACAAATTAAGTACTTAACCCGAGGTACCACTGTACACATTTAATAAATAATAACAATTTTTTAAACCTTTTTTTTAAATAAAAAAATAAGAAGTCCTCAAGGAAATTCACCACTGACATTTCCAGAATAACCCCCAAACAGAGGCAGTCTGGAGGCACCCTTAAAGATAAATTCTTATTTATTGCATCAGGAAAAACGACCATCAGGAATGATAAATTCCATCAGGAAAAACGACCGTATTTAGTGCAAAGGAAATGACTCTACATATGAGGAAAAGATGAGGAAATGCTGGGGAGAATTATTCCAGTAGAAGGGGATCTTGCTCAGTCCAATCCTTCCTCCATCCCTGCCTCCCTCTCTCCTTGACCTGACCTTCACAAGAAGGTCCCTTGCGTCCTTGTCAAGCCATCGAGGGTAGAACGGGCTGTCCATGCGGATCGACTGGAAGAGCTCCTCTTCGTCCTGACCATGGAAGGGAGACTGACCAATCAGCATCTCGTATAGAAGGACTCCAAAGGACCACCAGTCAACGGACGTGTTGTATTTCTGCCCCAGCAGAATCTATAACGGAAAGGGGATGGAGAAGTGAAGAAAGCTTATTAGTAAGAGCTGGCCTCCTTGCAATGAGCTAAATCCACTTCCAAACTGGAGAGGAGGTGGGGTTGTGGGCCCACGCCCTCCCCACGCCCATGGGGGCTGGCTCACAGATTGCTCTATCTACCATGTGGCAGTCCTTCAGATATTTGAACCTGGGACCTTCTCTATGTTAATCAGATGCTCTACCAAGATGATCAAGGGTCTGGAAACCATGCCTTATGAGGAACGGTTGAGGGAGTTGGGTATGGTTGGCCTGGATAAGAAGCGACCGATTATAATAGCCATCTTCAAATAACTCAAGGGCTGTCACATGGAAATAATAATAATAATAATAATAATAATAATAATAATAATAATTTATTTATACCCCACCCACCTGGCTGGGCTTCCCCAGCCACTCTGGGCGGCTTCCAACAAAGCACTAAAATACAATAACCTATTAAACATGAAAAGCTTCCCTAAACAGGGCTGCCTTCAGATGTCTTCTAAAAGTCTGGTAGTTGTTCTTTGACATCTGGTGGGAGGGCGTTCCACAGGGTGGGTGCCACTATTGAGAAGGCCCTCTGCCTGGTTCCCTGTAACTTGGCTTCTCGCAGCGAAGGAACCGCCAGAAGGCCCTCGGTGCTGGACCTCCGTGTCTGGGTAGAATGATGGGGGTGGAGACGCTCCTTCAGATATACGGGACCGAGGCCGTTTAGGACTTTAAAGGTCAGCACCAACACTTTGAATTGTGCTTGGAAACGTACTGCGAGCCAATGTAGGTCTTTCAAGACCGGTGTTATGTGGTCTCAGCAGCTGCTCCCAGTCACCAGTCTAGCTGCCGCATTCTGGATTAGTTGTAGTTTCCGGGTCACCTTCAAAGGTAGCCCCACATAGAGCGCATTGCAGTAGTCCAAGCGGGAGATAACCAGAGCATGCACCACTCTGGCGAGGCAGTCCGCAGGCAGATAGGGTCTCATCCTGCGTACCAGGAGGAGCTGGTAGACAGCTGCCCTGGACACAGAATTGACCTGCGGCTCCATGGACAGCTGTGAGTCCAAAATGACTCCCAGGCTGCGCACCTGGTCCTTCAGGGGCACAGTTACCCCGTTCAGGACCAGAGAGTCCTCCACACCCGCCTCCACAAGCTTGTTTTCTCCTGCTCTGGAGGGTAGGACCTGAAACAATGGATTCAAGTTACAAGAAAGGAGATTCCAATTATTGGTAAGAGCTGGAATGGACTCCCTTGGTAGGTGAAGGGCTATCCTTTCTTGGAGGATGGATGGCCACCTGCCATGGATACTTTAGTTGAGATTCCTGCACTTCAGGGGGTTGGACTAGATGACCCTCACGGTCCCTTCCAACCCTACAATTCTATGATTCTACCACTGAGCTTCAGCCCTGCTGTGCCCTTGCCTGTTGACCATGCTGGCTGGGGTGATGGAGGTTGAAGTCCAACCTGAAGGCCCACAAGATACCCCATGACCTTGATTATTGCTGTGCTGGCCCCAGGAGCAACCCAGGCAACGTGCTCCAGGTCCGGTCCCGAATCCAAGGGTTCCATGGGGAGTCAGTCCAACAGGGCCAAGGCAAGACATGAGGCAGGAAACCAGGCAAGGTCAGGCACAGGATCTCAAGCATGTTCTAGCAAACAGCAACGTTGCTCCCGCAACCTGGGGCGGGGTGTGACAGCCTTTTATCTTTGTCAGGGTAATGGCTGGTCCTGATCCCCAGCGACTCACCTCTCTGTTTTGCCCGAAGGTGAGCACTCCTCCTACAAGTACTCAGGTCTCTCCTTCTCTCAGACCTTAGTCTCTGCAGCTCGGGAGCTGTCTGTGGGTTACTAGACCCAGGGGCCACCTCCTGACCCAACTGGTTGTGGAGCAGCTGTAAGTGATGGCCCAGCTGAAGGCAACGAGGTCATCCCCGCATCTGGAGCCAGGGCAGGCTCAGGCCCCTGACTCAGCCCAGCTGGTGCTTGTTGCAGGGAAACCTGTGCAGACTGGGGCTCTTCAGAATTAGGCCCCAGACTTGGTTCAGATGCCGCCTGAGGCAAAGGATCTGGTGCGGACTGAGACTCCTCTGGTTCCGAGTCTGAGCCCAAGTCCCAGGCCATCACAACTGCATTCCCTACACCAAGCACCCAGACACCTCCAGGGAGCTTATTGGTGGGCAGAAAAGGCTAAATCCTTCTCTTCCATTTGTACCCAACCCCTGTTATTCAGAGATATTCTGCCTCTGGTCTGGGAAGTTCCATTGGTTGCCAGGGCTAATAGCCCCACTTACCTCCGGTGCAATATAATCGGGGGTTCCACAGAATGTGCTTGTCTTGGCGTCCCCTCCCATGTGCTCTTTGCACATCCCAAAATCGGCAATCTTGATGTGCCCTTCCTTGTCTAGGAGAACGTTGTCAAGCTTCAGGTCTCTGCAAGGCAAGATCAGGCGACATCTCTGAAAAAGCTCTTTTCTTGAAAGACTAGATGTGTTATCTAATCAGTATGTGCTGTATATACAGTGGTAGCTCGGGTTAAGTACTGTATTTTTCGCTCTATAAGATGCACCAGACCACAAGACACACCTAGTTTTTGGAGGAGGAAAACAAGAAAAAAATATTCTGAATCTCAGAAGCCAGAACAGCAAGAGGGATCGCTGTGCAGTAAAAGCAGCAATCCCTCTTGCTGTTCTGGCTTCTGGGATAGCTGCGCAGCCTGCATTCGCTCCATAAGGCGCACACACATTTCCCCTTACTTTTTAGGAGGGAAAAAGTGAGTCTTATAGAGCAAAAAATACGGTACTTAATTCGTTCTGGGGGTCCATTCTTAACCTGAAACTGTTCTTAACCTGAGGTACCACTTTAGCTAATGGGGCCTCCCGCTGCCGCCGCACGATTTCTGTTCTCATCCTGAAGCAAAGTTCTTAACCCGAGGTACTATTTCTGGGTTAGCGGAGTCTGTAACCTGAAGCGTCTGTAACCTGAAGCGTATGTAACCCGAGGTACCACTGTACACAGAACAATTGTTAAGTCGTATCGGGTACAAGTCCCGGTATTGTATTGTGGGGAAGAGCTGAGGAGGAATGACAGCTAGGAGGAGCACACAGAGAAGAAATGTCCTGGTGCATCTGCAGCAGCACAGCTGGACGCCTTCGTCTGCCCCAGCTGCAACAGAACATGTCTCTCCTGTCTCGGTCTCTATAGCCACAGCAGGCGCTGTTAACTCTTCAGCTGTTTGACTTCTCTCCTAAAAGTGCACTCCGCCGTTATCTCCTGAGACAGACGGATGTCAACAACCGCATTGAAATTCCTGCATTTCTGGGGTTGAACTAGATGCCCCTCAGGGTCCCTTTGAGCTCTGCAACCCTACAATTGTATTATTCTTTCTCTCTCCACCAAGGATAAAATTCCTACCTGTATATGATTCCTTGAGAATGAAGGAACTGCAAGCCACAAATGATTTCAGCAGCATAAAACCTGAGAAAATCAGAAACAGGTCGGGCTTAATTTTATTGGTTCATATTTAACCCAATATCCAATATCTTCCCCCCCACAGAGTACTGGTCCAGTGGTTATTGTTTTTATTTGTAAGCCACCTTGAGTCCCATCAAGGAAAAAGGCATGACATAATAATAATAATAATAATAATAATAATAATAATAATAATAATAATAATAATAGAGGCCTCATTTCATAACAGCCACTGACAGACCTATCCTCCACCCTAAGCCAGTGTCCATCCTCAAATCACGTTGCAGTGAGTTCCACTGCTTAAACTAGGTGCTGTGTTACGGGACACTTACTTTTTCCTGTCCTGAATGAATCTACAGCCTACCGCTTTTGTCAGATGGAAAGGACAAATAACTTTTCTGCAAGCACCTACATTAATGTGCAATGATGGGGGTGGGGGCAGGAGGTATTTGGAGGAAATGGCCATGAAAATGCAGCCTTGTGCAATGTGCAAATGTGCAATGATGGGGGTGGGGGCAGGAGGTATTTGGGGGAAATGGCCATGAAACTGCCATGAAAATGCAGCCTTGCCAACAGTCCAGGAGTGACAATGGCAGAAATAGTGGCACCGCCAGCCATCTTCCTTCTTAGTGACGTCCCTCCTTACTGTTGGCAACAGCAAGAGCTGAGCCAGATAACAGTTGGGATGCATAGGGAGAATGCTCCTGAGAACGTGCAGAGTTCCTTCACCAGGGGGCAAGAACTTTCTCCGCTCCCTACACCCGGGATTAAGAGTTCTCTTCTTCAGTTCAGAAGTGCACCGCTCCAGAAAGGCCCCGTTCCAGGAGCGGCCCAAGGCATTTTGGTGCCTGAGGAGAAATACCCGCTGCTGCCCCGGTAATGGAGCCGGGCAGCCGTGAGGCCGTGCAAGGGCTTTGCCTCAAGGAAATAATAATAATAATAATAATAATAATAATAATAATAATAATAATAATAATTTATTATATACCCACCCATGTGGCTGGGCTTCCCCAGCCACTCTGGGCGGCTTCCAAAAAAATATTAAAATACTGTAATACATCAAACATTAAAAGCTTCCCTAAACAGGGCTGCCTTCAGATGTCTTCTAAAAGTCTGGTAGTTGTTTTTCTCATTGACATCTGTTGGGAGGGCATTCTACAGGTTGGGCGCCACCACCGAGAAGGCCCTCTGCCTGGTTCCCTGTAACTTGGCTTCTCGCAGTGAGGGAACCGCCAGAAGGCCCTTGGAGCTGGACCTCAGTGTCTGGGTAGAACGATGGGGGTGGAGACGCTCCTTCAGATATACTGGACCAAGGCCGTTTAGGGCTTTAAACGTCAGCACCAACACTTTGAATTGTGCTCGGAAACGTACTGAGAGCCAATGCAGATCTCTCAGAACCGGTGTTATGTGGTCCCAGCGGCCACTCCCAGTCACCAGTCTAGCTGCCGCATTCTGGATTAATTGCAGTTTCCGGGTCACCTTCAAAAGTAGCCCCACATAGAGCGCATTGCAGTAGTCCAAGCGGGAGATAACTAGAGCATGCACCACTCTGGCAAGACAGTCCGCGGGCAGGGAGGGTCTCATCCTGCGTACCAGGTGGAGCTGGTAGACAGCTGTCCTGGACACAGAATTGACCTGCGCCTCTATGGACAGCTGTGAGTCCAAAATGACTCCCAGGCTGCGCACCTGGTCCTTCAGGGGCACAGTTACCCCATTCAGGACCAGGGAGTCCTCCACACCTGCCTGCCTCCTGTCCCCCCAAAACAGTACTTCTGTCTTGTCACAGTACTTCTCTCTTGTCAGAAGTTCTTGCAGAGCCTCGCCATTGGGGGCTTGCACACAAGGGGGGCAAACTCAGCCAGGGCTTCCCTTTGCCACCCTGCCTCGCGACACGGAAAAGCAGAGTGGTGGAATTCTTGCCAGGCCATGTTTTTTAGAAATCCAATTCTGGAATTGCAGAGGAAGGCCAGGCAGATTTTTACGCCCAAAGTCACCTTCGCTCACCCGGCTCTAATGAATAATTTACTTCAAGTTGCTCTTCAATCCAAACAAAGCCCTAAAGCGGTTTCAATATTGATTTTTTAAAAAATTATCTCCAGGGGTACCGGGGCTTATTTTATTTGCTTTGTTCTATTTGTTTTAATCATGCCTCAATCCGTTTTTAAATCTTTGGTTGGTGTTTACCTTCTAGGTTTTTGGGATTTTTTTTACATTCATGTGATTCAGGCTAGTACTTTATTTTATTTTGGGGACTCGGTGCTCTGGAGCAGCCGAATAAAAGAGGGTCCACGGAAGCAGCTTTTTACCACAGCTTTCTAAAACAAAACAGTTTGACCAGATGCCAAAGAGAAAAACAACTACCAGACTTTTAGAAGGCATCTGAAGGCAGCCCTCTTTAGGGAAGCTTTTAATGTTTAACAGACCACTGTATTTTAATACTTTGTTGGAAGCCACCCAGAGTGGCTGGGGAAACCCAGCCAGATGGGCGGGGTACAAATAAATTATTATTATTATTATTATTATTATTATTATTATTAAATGGATGCTGCCATAGGTGCCAACTATAGGGGCCCTTGTGAGCCTGGGCACCCACAAACTTTTTTTGTGTGGGTGCTTGGCACCCACAGCGCGGGCTCCAACGCGGCTTCCAGTTTCTACCAAAAGTTGTGTCGGAGGTTTCCCAGGCCTCCGGTGTAATCTCCAAAGCCCCGTGAGGCCTTGGCGATCACATCTGAGGTCCTACCAGGCCTCAGAAGCGCCTCTGCGGCACGTTGACGTAACGCGATGTCATGACGTCACATTACCTCATGGGTGCCATTGGGCACCCATAACCTGGAGCACAGGTTGGTGTCCCTGCCTGCTGCTTTCTGCTTGAAATTGGGATGTTTATTTTGTATGCTGCCCAGATAGTTCCCCCCTGTCCTTGATGTGTGTTTTACGAACTAAAAAAATAAATAAAAAGCATCCTATACGTAAGGAGAGAAACAGATAGAGGCTCCAACATGGGATAACCCTTTGGTGGGAATGTACCACCTCAGCAGGCATTGGGTGTGTTTGTGTGTGTGTGTGCTTGAAAACACCCCCAGATTTTTTAAAAAAAATAGCCTGCAAATGGAGATCATTCCTGCCAATGGGCAACTCCAGTCTTCAGCCCTCTCTGGCCTTAGCTCAATCTGTCTTCACAGGGAACTCTGGGAATAGTAGTTCTGTGAGGGGACTGGGGGTCTCCTCACAACTTTCAGCACCCTTAAGAAACTACAGCTCCCAGAATTCTTTGCTGGGGGAATGCCATGCCTCTTTAAAGTGCTGTCATGATGCTTTAAACCAGCCTTTCTCAACCTGTGGGTCCCCAGATGTTATTGGAATACAACTCCCATCATCCCTAGCTAGTATGGCCGGAGCTCAGGGATGATGGGAGTTGTAGTCCAACAACATCTGGGGGATGCACAGGTTGAGAACCACTGCTTTAAATGTTTGGCATGAATGTGGCCCTAAGGAGAAAGTAAACTGCAATGATCCCAACTCTACACATCATGCATTTCAAGACAATCTACTCTTGCAAGGACCGTACCACATCACTGATGGTACGGTCGCGCAATTTCTCTGTCTCTCCAGGAATGGGCAGCAAAAACAGATCCCAACTTACCTCACTCGGCCAATGTCAAACTTGTGGCAGATCTGGATGTGAAACATCAGGTCACCCCCGTTGAGATATTCCATTACAAAGAAGAGGTTTTCCTAGTAAATGACAAAAAAGGGCTTAAAATCATAATCATGAAATGGTCTTGGGGCAACAGACGACACAAGAAAAGACATGGAGCATTGCCTCAGTGACAGCTTTTTCTTGGGGAAACTCAAATGGATGGATTCATGATAAAAGGCGAAAGATTTATACGATCTGAAGAGAAACCAGAGGATTTATGAAACCCATTTTACAGGTGGTTTCCCCAGAGAAAGTGGGGAAACACGCCTGTGCCTAGAAATCACGGGTCAAATGGAATAAATCACGGGACAAAAGGAAGTGCGGATAAGCTCTTAAACCCCAATCTCCAAAAGTCTATCATTGTGGGAAATTATCAACCAAATCTAATGCATATTCTTGCTAGTTAGCATGTGAAGGGGTTAAGACCACAGAGCTGTATTGCTGATAGGCGGACCCAGACCATAGACATGTATTTGATAGAGAGGGCTCTGTGTGATATCATTTCCCCTCCTCTCCTGAGGGGGAAAGAGCACCCAGCATTTCTTGTTCCTTTCCCTCTCCCTCTTTCAGGAGCAGACAGATATCCAGGTGCTTCAGCTCAGGCACATGCCTGAGGCTGCTTCTACTGTAAATATAAGCATTTTACCTGTATAGTTTTTAATGCTGTTGCATCTGAGAACCAAGGAATGATTATGAGTAAGTAAAGTGTGCTTTAAACTTACTTCTCCGTCTGTTGTATGATTCTTTGTTAAGAAAAGGGGGAGCCAGCTTGCTTTCCAGCTGAATTCCTATGCTTCCAGTATTTTCTGCTAAAGATGGGACTTGAAACTCTGCTAAGCTGAATTTCCTTGTCTGTTCAACCCACGCATGTGGGTGCCTTGAGGCAGGGCTTAAATATATGCGGCACCGGGGTGCAAAGATTCACCTGGCGCCCCTTCCGGTTGCCGAGTCCCAGGCGCGCAGGAGGGCAGAGCCAGCTGGCTGCCTCAGCGTCTCGCTGGCTCGGTCACCCCCGAACTCGCAGCGCAGAGCTGCCCGCAGCAGAAGAACCTTCCATGATGCTCCGACCGATGGGCGGGCTCTTCTCCGACTCAACTCTTGGGCCCCAGACTCTGAGAGCCCGGCGCCCGGGTGCCCCGCACCCCTAGCGCCTATGGATAAGATGGCCCTTCCTTTTTCCTTTCTCCTTCTGTGATGGAACTCCTATTTGGGGACTTCCCTGGCTTTTTTTCTGGCCCACAAAGGCCAGTCCGGATAGTTGGCCTTGGTGAAGATTTCATCCTCAAAAAGTTTTTGATTTGAGTTGCTACTGAAATGAGCCTGCATTTTAATGTATTTTAATCTTGTTTTTAAGTTGCGTTTTAATCAATTGTTTTTATACCTGGTGTTAGCCGCCCTGAGCCCGGTCTTGGCCGGGGAGGGCGGGGTATAAATAAAATTTATTATTATTATTACAGTGGTACCTCAGGTTAAGAACTTAATTCGTTCTGGAGGTCCGTTCTTAACCTGAAACTGTTCTTAACCTGAGGTACCACTTTAGCTAATGGGGCCTCCTGCTGCCACTGCACAATTTCTGTTCTCATCCTGAGGTAAAGTTCTTAACCCGAGGTAATATTTCTGGGTTAGCGGAGTCTGTAACCTGAAGCATCTGTAACCTGAGGTACCACTGTATTACTAAAACTCATCTGAAAACCATGCCGCACTGGCTGCCATTTTGTGACTGGTGGACCTTCTCAAGTGGGTCCTGAAGGCAGACAGTATGAGAATCTCTATTCTGAGTGAATAGGAAAGAAATTGGTTACCTTTGTCTGGAATGTACAGAAGACGTGAGTGAGGAACGGGTGTCCCCAAGCCAGAGAGAGAACCCGCCTTTCCACCATGGTACATTCAACGTCATCATCCATCAGCACCACCTCCTTCTTCAAAGCTTTCATGGCAAAAAACTGGTTCGTGTCCTTCAGCTCAACAAGGAAGACCTGGGCAAAAATAAATCAATCCAGAGTACTGCAAAAAGCTGCGATTCATGGCAAGGTTAAGCAAACCGCGCAATTCAGAATTGAGTGCAGAATTAACTCAAAATCTCAGATGGAATGTTTATCAAGTTTCTAGTCCCTATGTTTTGCAAAGACCGATTTGAAAGCCAGTAGCCAAGGTGTCGTGCAGGGATGGGGAGCACTTCCCGACTCAAGGGCCACTCTCTTTCGTGGGCGAGCTTTCAGAGGCCGTGTGGGCGGGGCCAAAGGAAAAGTGGGTGGAGCAACAGGTGTCAGTTTTAGTGTGGACGCGGGTGGCACTGTGGGTTAAACCACAGAGCCTAGGACTTGCCGATCAGAAGGTCGGTGGTTCGAATCCCCACAACAAGGTGAGCTCCTGTTGCTCTGTCCCTGCTCCTGCCAACCTAGCAGTTCGAAAGCACGTCAAAGTGCAAGTAGATAAATAGGGAAGGGAGGGAAGGTAAACGGCGTTTCCGTGCGCTGCTCTGGTTCGCCAGAAGCGGCTTAGTCATGCTGGCCACATGACCCGGAAGCTGTACGCCGGCTCCCTTGGCCAATAAAGCGAGATGAGCGCCGCAACCCCAGAGTCGGCCATGACTGGACCTAACGGTCAGGGGCCCCTTTACCTTTTTAAGTTACATGCAAGCTATGCAAAAGCCAGAGATTTCTATGCACACATGTACACACACACACCTCCTCCTAGGCAAGCAGGAGACATTATCCCAGTTCAAGGACACATTCCAACCAGGTAAAAACACTTAAGGAGAGTGCAGACTATAGTCTTGAGGGCTGGGGAGAAGGGGTGTCGCCTGGGGAGGCAATATGACCTAGGAAGAGTCTCAAGAGCAAGAAGTGTGTGGATCGAGGTTCCCTGCTCTTGTTTAATGGTTAATACAACCCTGGTTTTCTGTTCTACTGTACAGTCATACCTCGGGTTACAGACACTTCAGTTTGCATTTTTTTGGGTTACGGACCTCCGAAACCCGGAAATACCGGAACGGGTTACTTCCGGGTTTTGGCGGTCGTGCATGCGCACAAGTGCTAAATCGTGCTTTGAGCATGCGCAGAAGCACCAAATCACAACCTGCGCGTGTGCAAACGTGCTGCTGCAGGTTGCGAACGCTGTGGGTTGCGAACGTGCATCCCGCATGGATCTCGTTCGCAACCCGAGCGTCCACTGTACAGTAATCCATAAATTGCATGTGGTATTTTGTATTTAATTCAAGTAGGGCTTTGTTTTTGTGAAAAACACCAACAGTACGTTGTGTCTCCTGCTCTCGCTTTCGCTCCTTACCTTGCCAAAGCTTCCTTTCCCCAACATTTTGTGCAAAACAAAATCATCTATGGTAAACTTCGGCAGCTGAGCAGGGAGGTCTTTCCTTGGTTCCAGTTCCACCGGGGAATCTGGACCCGGGACGTCTTCTGCAGGGGATTCCCAGGAAACTCCCTGAGGCTCTGCAATGGATCCCAGTGGAGTTGTGTTAACTGAAAGAGCTCTCCCCATTGCACTGACGAATCTTAACTGCTTGTGGGAGCGCACACCACTGCACCTCTCTCCCCACCCAACGACCTACCGTATTTTTCGCCCCATAGGTTTTTTTTTTTGGGGGGGGGAAATAAAGAAAAAAAATTATTTTCCCCCCAGGCACGGGGCTGGCGCGGGGGAAGCCTGAGCTTCCCCCGACCCCAGCTCCCAGAACAGCCTGCTATCCGCAAGCCTAGGGAGCCGCGCCGGTCTTCAGAGCACCCGAGGCTTCGGAATGCAGGCAGCTCTGCGCAACCCTCCAGAGCCCAGCACAGCTTGGCTCTGGGCTCCAGAGGGTCGCACAGAGCTGCGTGGACCCCGGGAGGGCAGGCAGCTCTGCGCAACCCTCCGGAGCCCAGCACAGCTTGGCTCCGGGCTCCGGAGGGTCGCACAGAGCTGCGTGGACCCCGGGAGGGCAGGCAGCTCTGCGCGACCTTCCGGAAGCTGGCGCGGCTTGGCGCCAAGCTCCAGAGGGTTGCGCAGAGCTTCCTGAAGCCTGGAGAGCGAGAGCCTCTCGCTCTCCAGGCTTCAGCGAAAGCCTGTATTCGCCCCATAGGACTCCCCCACATTTCCCCTTCATTTTTGGAGGGGAAAAGTGCGTCCTATAGGGCGAAAAATACGGTAATTTGTGGCGAAGTGTAACCCGGGACAGATGCAGCTGGGCTGGCTGGCTTAAGCCGCCTGAAACTCTCGTCTCTGTTTCTGGGACGCAGTCTTCGGTGGCTGTGGGATGGCGACTGTCTCTCAGCCTAACCCACTTCACAACGTTGTTGTGAAGAATAGAATTTTATTCTTATGGTCACAGACCGGTTCCAGGTCAGGAAAATCATAAAACACAACAGGAATACACTGAATTGCAATTGGGTATAACAGAGACGATTTAGATATAGCGGCAGTTAATATATATATATATATTAAATCTTGATCACTAAAATATAACCTAAAATTATCATTTAAAACCTTAGTCCTTGTTCCCTAAGTTTTATGGCAGTTGCACAGAATTTGGCCACCCTTAGCGTAATCTCTAGATCCTTGTCCTCTACCAGGAGTTTTAGACATTGAAGTTTGGACCCATTTGGAGATTTCTGTATAACAGGAGTGATAAATACCGAGCGTATATCCCTGTAGAAACGGCAGCGTAACAAGACATGAGAGACAGTTTCTACCTCCATCAAGCCGCAGGGGATGACTCATTCCACGTACGGTTTACCCTCGAATCTGCCCTGCAATAAGGCAGATGGCAGCACGTTGAATCTAGCGAGGGTAAATGACCGTCTGTATTTGGGTATTTGTAATTTTGACAAATATTGTTGTGGAGATAAAAAGGAGAGGGGAAAAATTGTGTCCACCATCTTGAACACCTTGGAGGAAAGGTGGAACGTGAATAACAATATTAATCTAAGGACGATTCATTGTTTTCAGCGGAGCTTATTCCCAAGTAACTCTGTGCAGGAGTCATAGAGTTGGGAGGGCGATAACTGGGATGCGGGTGGCGCTGTGGGTTACACCACAGAGCCTAGGGCTTGCCGATCAGAAGGTCAGCAGTTCGAATCCCCGCAGTGGGGTGAGCTCCTGTTGCTCGGTCCCTGCTCCTGCCAATCTAGCAGTTCAAAAGCACGCCAGTGCAAGTAGATAAATAGGCACCGCTCCGGTGGGAAGGTAAACGGCGTTTCCGTGTGCTGCTCTGGTTCGCCAGAAGCGGCTTACTCATGCTGGCCACATGACCTGGAAGCTGTACGCCGGCTCCCTCGGCCAGTAAAGCGAGATGAGCTCCGCAACCCCAGATTCGGCCACAACTGGACCTAATGGTCAGGGGTCCCTTTACCTTTACTCAAACGATAAAATACAGCACCTTTTTTCCCTGCTGGAGGTGCTGGCACAGGAGGAGCAGCAGGCGTCGGGTCTTTGTCAGGGAAGACAATTTCCACAGGTCCTTCTCTCAAGATCTTCTCTGACTCCCGCAAGCTTCTAGCCTGCCTCATGGTAAAAACGAGGAAAGGAATGAATCACGTAGCATGCTTGCTGGACACTGTGCAAGTGTGGGATCTAGTATGGGGCACAAGATTGGAAACTAAAAAAAATAACAATCGATGGAGTTTATCCATAGATGACACCCTACAACCACGGAAAACACCCTACAACCAGAATGCAGGTCACACAGAGACACTTCTCAGCAACTTGTCAAAGAGTTGGGCTGGCCGTGGGCAGAAGATGAGTTTTTGCCCAACGAGGGAAAGATGGCCTGGCCGGCACTTTCTTGATCTCCTGCCCTCGGGCAGAAGATATAGAAGCATGATTAGTCGGACCAACAGGGTAAAGAACAGCTTCTATCTGTGGGCTGTTAGGCTGCTGAATGAAAAGATAACAACAGGGCAACTGACTTTTGGGTTTGGTGGGTGTGCGTCAGTAAACGAGGGGAATTAAGACTAAGAGAGCTGAGTGGGGGGGCGCTTGTGTAACCTCACTGTATACAAGTTGTACAAGTGACAATAACGTATTTCATTTCATTTCATTTTAAAGGTGCCAGCTGTAAAATAATAATAATAATAATAAGAGCCTCTAGGATTGGGTCAATGGCCCATCTAGTCCAGCATTATCACAGTAGCCCACTAGATGCCCATGGGGAACAAGCAGAACATGAGCACAACAGCCACTCTTGTGGCTTCCGACAGCTGGTAGCATTGCTGCCTCTGGCAGTGAAGGTAGGGCAGAGTCTCCATCATGGCGACCAGAAACTTGGAGGAAACCTGCATGCAGGACCACCGAGAGCGCCCTAGTCAACGGACGTCTTTGTCACCTGATCGGTGCTGCCAGCAATCTCCAAATCATCTCTTTGGATCGCTTGCAAATCGACTTCAAATGGCTTGTTGTCACCAACCGTCAGCTGATTGTTACCGGAAGCAAAGCCCTTTGAAGCTTCTCCTGGCACCAATGAGCTGATTGGCAGCAAAGGGGCCGGCTTTGAAGTTGTCACCCGATGTCATAATGATGTTGGCTGTCAGATGATGGACAGGTGGGGCAGCCCCACCCACCTGCTAAATTTGGACGGCAGGGACAAGGGAGGGATCCAGCCCCCATTTCATCTGATACTTCAAACCAACTAAAATAAATTCACAGGGAGAATGGGACATCCTCTTTTGTAGAGGTGGCAAGTACAAAGAAATATACATAAGCCCCCAGCCTTCTGTGCTTTTTTGCCTCAGAGGAGCCAAAGAACAACGCCGCTTGCCCACCTGCTGCCGGCTCTCGATCAGTTGCAGCGCTTCCGCCATGAGCTTCTGGTTGATGCCGCAGAGGTTTGCCACTTTGGCTTGGCACTTGTGGTGGACGTTCATGGCACAGGCTGCAAGGAAGGCATGGAGTCAACAGGTGAGGTTCTGGCAACATTAAGAGAATCCAGTCCACAGGTTAAGAACATTAGAAGAGCCCTGTTGGGTCAGGTCAATGGTGCAATGAGTCCAGCCTCCTGGTCTTGCAGTGGCCACCCAGTGGGAAACCTTTGAGCAGGACCCAAGCCCAAGAGCACCCTCCCCTCCTGTGGTTTCCACCAACTGGTATGCAGAATCATGAAATCATAGAGTTGGAAGGGATCACAAGGGTCATCTAGTCCGACCCCCTGCAATGCAGCAATCTCAACTCAAGCATCCATGACAGATGGCCACCCAACCTCTGCTTAAAAACCTGCAAGGAAGGAGAGTCCGCCACTTCCCGAGGGAGACCGTTTGTGATGGCCTGGGACTTGGGCTCGGATTCGGAACCAGAGGAGTCTCAGTCTGCACCGGATCCTTTGCCTCGGGCATCATCTGAACCAAGTCTGGGGCCTGATCCTGAAGAGTCCCAGTCTGCACAGGTTCCCCTGCAACAAACACCAGCTGGGCCGAGTCAGGGGCCTGAGCCTGCCCTGGCTCCAGATGTGGGGATTACCTCGTTGCCTTCCAGCTGGGCCATCACTTACAGCTGCTCCACTACCGGTTGGGTAAGGGGAGGCTGAGGCGGCCCCTGGGTCTAGTAACCCACCGACTCTCCCAAGCTGCAGAGACTAAGGTCTGAGAGAAGGAGAGACCTGAGTACTTACTGCAGGAGGAGTGCTCGCCTTTGGGCGAGACAGGGAGGTGAGTCGCCGGGGGATCAGGACCGGCTGCTACCCCAACAAAGATAAAAGGCTGTCGGACCCTGCCCCAGGTTGCGGGAACAACATTGCTGTTTGCTAGATCCTGCCTGAGATCCTGCGCCTGTCCTTGCCTGCTTTCCTGCCTCGTGTCCTGCCTTGACCCTTTTGACTGACTCCTAGTGGAACCTTCGGATTCTGGACCGGTCCTGGACCGCGTTTCGTGGGTTACCCCCGGGCCCAGCACACCGTTCCACTGTCAAACAGCTCTTTCTTTTTCATCCAGCACACATTTAAACTATGGTTTATGATAACTATGGTTATCAATGACCTGATCCTGCTGCCAGCCTTTACCTAACATTCTCTGTAGGTCTCTCATCTGAGAACTGGCAACCAGGATAGCAGGCTCTACTGTGGTCCTCCGAACTGAGAACTGTACCATCAGAAGAATGATTCCTATCTCCCTCTGCTGTTTCCCCTTCTGTTACAAACAGGGGTGGAAAATCTGTCATGGAATCTTAGAATTGTAGAGTTGGAAGGGACCGTGAGGGACATGTGGTCCAGCCCCCTGCAATGCAGGAAACTCAACTCAAGCATCCATGACAGATGGCCGTCCAACCTCTGCTTAGAAACCTCCAAGGGAGGAGAGTCCGCCACCTCCCAAGGGAGTCTCTTCCACTGTCAAACAGCTCTTACCGTCAGAACATGCTTCCTGTTCTTTAGTCAGAATCTCCTTGAGATTCTTGAAGCCATTGGTTTGAGTCCTACCCCCCGCAGAGCAGGAGAAAACAAGCATGCTCCCTCTTCCATGTGACAGCCCTTGAGATATTTGAAGATTGCTATGCTCTCTCAGTCTCCTCTTTTCCGGGCTAAACAAACTCAGCTCCTTCAACCATTCCTCATAATAATAATAATACAGTCATACCTCATGTTACGTTTGCTTCATGATACGTTTTTTCAGGTTGTGACCCGGAAGTACCAGAAAGGGTTACCGCCAGGTTTCACCGCTCGCGCATGCGCAGAAGCACAAAATGACGACATGCGCATGCGCAGAAGTGGCGAATCGCAACCCGCGCATGCGCAGATGCACCGCTGTGGGTTGCGTTCTATTCATGTTATATTTACAGCTCTATAGCTGAGGCCCTGGACTTACCATCACATTTCAAACCCTGCCGTGCCAGACCCCAGAGCAGAGTGCCGCAGTGATCGCAGAACGTTGGGCTTTTGTAATTGTAGACCTTAAATCGGTGGGGCATGTCAATCTTAAACCTCTCTTTGTGGAACTGCAAAAGAGAGAGAGAGAAAGAAAGAAAGAAAGAAAGAAAGAAAGAAAGAAAGAAAGAGAGAGAGAGGACGAGGTCAGAGGACGCACATGGCCTGCTTCTGGTGTTGCAAATACATACAAAACTGAAGGGGTTCAAGCCTTTAAACAGTTCCTCTTTTGCAAATACAAACAGTTCCAGTGCAAATGAATTGAACAAGGAATTATAAACAATGTCATGGGTTCTGCAGTGACTGTAATCAAATGTTGCCCCTCACTTTCACTGTTATGTACTGAAGTTCTCACCCTGGGCCAGCAGGGGGATACTGTAGATAGTTATGCAAATAAGGGATCGAAAGTGACGTTCAGTGATTGGATAGTTTTAGAAAATTGTTACAGTTACGTTGTAGTTGAGCTCTATATAAGCAGGCTGACTGAACCCTTCAGTTCAGTTCTGTTCTGGCCTGTGAATAAACAAGAGCTTGAAGAGCTCTGAAGAATCGCTGTGTCGTCTGATATGTTCACCCACAACTTAACATTCACAATAGACCAGGGATGAGAAAGCTGTGGACATCCAGATGTGGTTAGACTCCAGCTCCCATCAGCCTCAGTCAACATGGCAAATTGTCAGGGAAATGAGAACTGCTGTCCAGCAACATCTGGAGGTTCCCTCTCTCTACCAATATTTTATCCAGCTTGCCTGCAAAGTAGGTCATTTTGGAGTAGGAAAGGAAAGACGACATCTTGCCCAAGGCAACTCACGGAGACAATGGCGTCATGAGAGCCAACAGGACTTAGGTCAGGATAGGTGAGTTCAGACCCCATTCAGCCGTGGCATCAGTGCCGGCTTTGTCATTAGGCAGAGTGAGGCAACAGCATCAGGCGGTCAATTTTGGATGTCATAAAAGTGTAGCAAATTGTTGCAGTTATTAGCATTGCATTTCTCAGTGCTGCTGGGAGGGCGAGAGATGCTGGTGGGATTTTCTGTCTCTGCTGCCAAAGTAAGTTTGCTGGCCTTAGGGACGACGCACTTGGACTGCAACAGGGGACCCCATTTTCTAATCTGCCCCAGGCAGCAAAAATTCTGGAGCCGTTCCTTTCCCTTGTGTAGGGTTCAAAAAGTAAAATTCCTGACAGACACCCACAGAGTTGTTGAGATTTTTTGCACCATGCATACGGAATTCGCTTAAATTCCTCGCAGACGCCATGTTTACACCTCGTGTGCCTGTGTAGTCCCATTTGTGTCCGCCTAGCCTACTTCACAGGGTTGTGAAGAAAAGAGATTGGCAGAGGGCACCAAATCTATCTGCACATCTCTACCTAACAACCCTTGTGACCTTGAGGTCCATGATTTTCTCCAATCCTTTTTTTTTTTTTAAATGAGGAAAGGTGTTTTCAAACTCTTGGCAACCGGTGTGTTGTCAACTGATTCACAAAAAAATCCTTCATTCAGATACACAACGCCCTCAACTGATTCACAAGAAGTTTCATTCAGGTACAGGCCACCTTCAGCTGATTCACAAAAAGGACCTTCATTCAGATACATACCATGGTTTCTCTGCTATTGATGGCTGATCCCGTACACTTTGCTATTACTTTGTCAATGCACTTCTTGTGAATGGCAGCATTGCATTCTGGGAAGGGAAAACAAGCCATATAAAGCATTGTTGAAGGGCCACAAGAAGAGATGCATTTTAAATAAAAGCTCACATTCTACTCATATAAAAACACCAGGCAGGCCCCACAAATAACCCAGAGATGCATTTTAAATAAAAGGACACATTCTACTCATGTAAAAACATGCCGATTCCCGGACTGTCTGCGGGCCGGATTGAGGAGGCGATTGGGCCGGATCCGGCACACGGGCCATAGCCTAATCCTTCATGGGTTTGTTTAATTCCCTTTTAAAGCCAGCCACAAGCAGTATGAGAGATATTGCAAATACAGTATTGGACAATAGAAAAAATAATAATAATGATAATAATGATGATGATGATGATGATGACACTTTGAATTGTGCTCTGAAACGTACTGGGAGCCAATGTACATTCTTAAAGAGAGGACATGGACTTTTCTTGTGTGGGAATAAGCCAGCATAGGACTGCCTCCTGACTGGGTGGAGCAAATTGCAAAAGTTCCAGAGCCAATGGGAAAGTGGCATATCCCCTCGATTTTGGCTTATCACTTGGCGATTTTGCACTTTTCCTGGAGACCCTAAGGAAAAGGTGAAATCCCTAAAATATCAGAAATGGAGACTCAACCAGAATCTGCTGTACAGAAGGAGTATACCTGCATGCAGCTTCTACCTGCTTCCCACTGTCTTTTAGGATTGCATTTAACAAAACACAGGCTGTGTGGCTTAAAGCATGCCCAGACTGTTCTTTGTCTCAATTCCGATTGAAGCTGGTTCGTGGGAAAACCCATCAAAATGCAGAATTTCATGAGAAATTACAGGAGAGATCCAGCATAGGTTTGGACCGCTTCTCAAAAGAGTTGAAATGGGAGTGTGTTGACCCACAATCCAGCCAGAAATTAGGCACTTTTCAGCTGTAACCCTATGCCTTCTGACCTGGGCGTAAGTCCCACTGATCTCAATTTGCCTTACTTCAGAGTAGACCAACAGAGAATGTTGTCATTAATTCCTACTGTAGTCTGTGAGAGGTGACATGGCTCTTGTAGGTCACATTTACACATGCGCTCTTTGTTTCCACGGCTGGCTTGCTAATTTTTTTTAAGCATTCTCGGTTTTCTTCAGGGCAAGAAACACTGCAGTTTCTATTTGGGCAGTTGTAAATATAACGCGATATGCTAAAAAGTTTCTTACGTCTGCACTGGTAACCTTGCTTGTTAAGACCCCTGAAACACAGAAAGGAGAGAGTTTGGAGTAAGGATAACGTTCATCATGTATATTTGAGAAGAATGACTTTAAAACAAAAGAAATGCCGTGTGTTGGGATCTGGGCCCAGAAAGGCTAGGCTTGAATGTTTATTATTACGGCCAAACAGCCAGCATACTAAAATCAGAATTCCTGCGTAGTTCTTTACAAAAACGATAAAGACGATTCAGAGTGGAATTTAACAATCAATATACTCATTAAATAGACTTAAGAACTCCATTTAAGAAATACAAGAACAAGAAGATTTAACTATAAGCTGCAATGATTTATGCTTTCTTTGACTTATGGCTATTGCACAAAATCTAGCTGCTGTACGTTTCTAGTGACATCTGGATTCTGGTTGGACAAGAGGTCGTTTAAATAATATTTCTCTGTCCTCCCTGGTACTTTTCATACAAGAAGGGTTACGAGAGAGGCTCTGAGTTCTGTATAAAATCTACAATGGAATAGAACATGGCCCACAGTTTCCGTTTGACCGCTCTGACATGGGCAGACCCCCTTGCCACGAGGAATCTTTCATCTTTCTGTGTCTGCCTTCCAACAGTGCAGGTGGCAAGGCATGGAATTTAGCTTGCGTAAATGTCTTTCTGAATTTGGGGGATGGTCAAATTTCCTCAAATAAGTGGTGTCAGCTGGATAAGGACTGGAGAAAACTGAAGCCACTATTAGTACGACAGCAATACGTTCAAGGTAGAGGCAGGACATTAAATATGTCTTTGCATTTAGAACATGCAAGTTTTTTGAAAAAATTCAAAGATAATCTGTTGGGGAAGAGAATCAAAGCAAGCGTGGAGTAGAAATTTAGCCCTTTTCTCTTCTGCTATGGTCCTGAGGAAAATCCCTCCTTTTAAGGTGATTTTTGCGCGCTCTCTCTCTTTCTCCCATCAATCCTCCTTTGGGCCCAAAGGGGAGGAAATCCCCCTGCAGCGGATGCTATTCAAATTTTTAAAAATACATGTTAAATTCATAGGTGTTGTTTGCCTCCAACAGCTATTTGAGCTTGCATCATTTGCATATAGGGGGCTGGGTAGGATTTTGAATTCACATTGAGGAATGGTTCGCAGTGGCCCTTCCAGTAAGAGGGTTCTGTTGTAATATATACAGTTAAGGGTAAAGGGACCCCTGACCATTAGGTCCAGTCATGGCCGACTCTGGGGTTGCGGCGCTCATCTCGCTTTATTGGCTGAGGGAGCCGGCATACAGCTTCCAGGTCATGTGGCCAGCATGACTAAGCCGCTTCTGGCGAACCAGAACAGTGCACGGAAACCCCGTTTACCTTCCCACCGGAGAGGTACCTATTTATCTACTTGCACTTTGACGTGCTTTTGAACTGCTAGGTTGGCAGGAGCAGGGACCGAGCAACGGGAGCTCACCCCGTCACGGGGATTCAAACCGCTGACCTTCTGATCAGCAAGACCTAGGCTCTGTGGTTTAACCCACAGCGCCACCCGCGTCCCATATATATAGTTACTGACTCACAATTGCATGCATGAAAGGGTTAACCTGAGCCATGAGTTCGTTACCAGAGTGGGTGTGGCTAAGCTCTCCCCACCCCCATTCTGCTTCTCAGTCTTTTTCTCTTTGTGCTTCCTGGTACAAGCAAAGAAGGAGCCATGTGGCTTTGGCTCCCAGCTCAGTTGTTCCTGCAAGTGAACTGAATCTCTCCAAAATGGAGATTTTAAAGCTTGCATCTTTGCCAACTCAAAGACTGTATGATCTTTTTTAAAAAAATGAAAGCAAGTGCTTTTCTTTTTAAGTCATTTGAAACCCCTTTTCATATCCGTCTTACTGCCAATTGATGGAGACTACTTTGCTGTAATGTCTGGAAACACTGAGTAAAACATCCACTTAATTTGCAAGATTTAGTATTTTCATAGGGAACATTTGTTTAAGGTAGATGAGGGCAGATGCAAATTTAACCAAGTTTTAATGTGCTTGGAGCAATTGCCATTGTGTATAATTTTGCTGCGAGAGAGTAAGAGATCTCTCTTCCAAACCCCTCCCTCTCCATCAGAGAAGCAGCAGGTTGCCCCTTCCCCACTAGACAACCTTCCTCACACTGGTGCTCTACAGATGTTTTGGACTACAATTCCCATCAGCCACAGCAAGCACAACTGGCAAAGGCCCATTCAGACTGGGGCCTGATGGGAGTTGTAGTCCCAAAAACTTCTGGTGGGCATCAGGTTGGGGGAAGACTGCCATGGGAATAGATCAAGGAAGGGAGGGGAAGCCATGTATCATACCAGACGAACTCGTGGCAAACGGAACAGAACGTGGGCTGGGGGAAGAAGGTAGCAGTGAACTCGTGACACTTGACATTGTGGATCTTGGCTTGCTTGATGGCGCCTCTCCGTTGGTGCAGAGAGAAAAACCCTTCCTTTTCACAGTCAATAAACTCTGGATCATCTGGGTGAGAGAAAGAGAGAGATGCTTGGTTATTCTGATGACGAATTCCTGCGGTCTGCCCCTAGAAGCTAAAATAACATATATTTAAATCAGCTCGAAAAGGCGTCAGCTTTAAAAATAAACAGCAGGGCAGACTTCCTAAAACAACTCAGAGAGCTGAGTCACACAACCAAGAGAAGTGAGTGGTTGGTGCATATATTTGTGGACTGCCTGGGGGTGTGTCATAGGCCTGAATGCTTGTCCCATGGGAGGTGGGATTCCATGTCTTTGGAAAACTAGAAGGTCAGGGAGCAGGGTTCTCATCTACATTTGTCCTTGATCTGCTAGATTTTGATGTGCACGGAGGACGGACACAAGGTCCTCTCCCAGCCTGAAGTGGTACCTGTTAAGTTGTGGGTGAACATATCAGACGACGCAGCGATTCTTCAAACAGCTCTTGTTTATTCACAGGCGAGGACAGAACTGAAGGGTTCAGTCAGCCTCTTATATAGAGCTCCAGTACAACGTTACTGTAACAACTTTCTAAAACTATCCAATCACTGAAAGTCACTTTCGATCCCTTATTTGCATAACTATCTACAGTATCCCCCTGCTGGCCCAGGGTGAGAACTTCAGTACATAACGGTACCCTCCAGCAGAAGTAACATGGCTGTAATTTTGGCTCTCATCAAATGTCGGGCATCTCCTGTAAAGACTCCTACCCCAAATGAAAGAAGCATAGGAAGAGCCCTCCTGAATCGGGGCAATTGCTTGTCTGGTCTAGCACTCTGTTCTTACACTAGCCAACCAGATGCTACAAGCAGGAAATAATGACAAAATTGGGGACTGAACCAGAAAAAAGGTGTCCTGCTACTCAGCTAAAGCTCTTTACACCCACTCTTTGAATTGGGAGGAAAACAGGACCTTTCTGCCAGTGTGGTGTAGTGGTTAAGAGCGGTGGACTCATAATCTGGTGAACTGGGTTTGATTCCCCGCTCCTCCACCTACAGCTGCTGGGTGACCTTGGGCTAGTCATACTTCTCTGAAGTCTCTCAGCCTCACTCACCTCACAGAGTGTTTGTTGTGGGGGAGAAGAGGAAAAGGAGCTTGTTAGCCGCTTTGAGACTCCTTAGGGTAGTGATAAAGCGGGATATCAAATCCAAATGTAAATTGCAGGGGCGTGGGGTGTGTGACTCCAATTTGGGACTGTAACAAAAAGACAAGGCTGCTCCTACCCAAGATCCAAATCTGGAGTGGACCAGCCGAGCTTGCAATTTACTGTAGTTTTTAAAAAAACAAAACAGTGAACACACAATTGCCCATTAACTGTTTCTCAAGAATCCACCCCGATTTGCTCGTACAAAGTTTGTAGGGTGTTTTTGGAAAATGTTGGCTATTTATTGTGCATTCGTTCTGATTTGCTCGCAGGGTGGTTAGACCACCTTGCATCCAGCAAGCAATATGCTTTCCAATCTATTTTCCAGTCACTTTCCTTCTGAGGAAGCTGGTTTGTTACACGAAAGCACCAAACCAACTTCAACTGCACAAACTGAAATTCACCAGGATGTGACTGAATTCCGTCCGAAAACAAGGAGTCCAGAAGTGGCCCAGGGTTTGTTCTGAGTGATGAAAGACAGCAAATGACGCTCGCACATGTGTGAATCAGTCCTTTGGGTGTCACAAATCCCAATATGTTGCCATAATAGCCAATTAAAATTGCACCAGCCATTGAACTGGTCCCTGAGCAGTTTAAGAATTTCAATATTTTGAGGCTCTGCTGTGTTTCTTTATGTAAAAGTATTTATCGCTCTGCGTTGGGATTTTGTACATTTTGAAATTACCATGTCCCAACCTGAGCTTTCAGGGTGGGGAAATCCGCAGCGAAAATAACTGAAAATGTCGTAGCAATAATATGACCATCACTTGCCAGTAGTTTCCAGGAAGTATCTTGCGTTCATTAACATTCTGCCTTGTGGCTTCAGTTCTAGCTAAAAATATAATAAAATAAAGGAAGGCAAGTTAAAAATAGCTTTTGTTTTTTTTTTGTTTAAAAAGGAAGAGTGAGTGACAAAACAGCCATGGAGTGACCATCGCATGAAAAGCCATAATGGAAAGATCTCGCAATAATCTTGTGATCCACAGTAAAAATTAAATAAATAAATAAATGTATAAAAGTGTTTATTTATTTATTTATTATGAAGGGAGGTTGAGAACGCTTGACATTGGTTAACAGAAATACAGTCATACCTCGGGTTAAAGACGCTTTGGGTTAAATCTTTTCATGTTGTGTCCCGTGGTGACCCGGAAGTACAGTGGTACCTCTGGTTAAGAACTTAATTCATTCCGGAGGTCTGTTCTTAACCTGAAACTGTTCTTAACCTGAAGCACCACTTTAGCTAATGGGGCCTCCTGCTGCTGCCGCGCCACCGGAGCACGATTTCTGTTCTCATCCTGAAGCAAAGTTCTTAACCTGAAGCACTATTTCTGGGTTAGCGGAGTCTGTAACCTGAAGCGTATGTAACCCGAGGTACCACTGTACTACATCCCCAGCAATAATGTTTTACACAAGTGCATTTCAAAAGCTTCCAGGATTGTTGCATCGTGATCTATACGGTTCTCTACATTTCTTCATTAAGCTTTCGATTACGTTTTTGGAGAAAATTCCCTGGCGAGGCATGAACGAATTCAAGCTCAAGTCAGTTTTATTACTGCCAATTATTCTTCCTGCCCAAAGGGGATTTTTTTAAAAAAAAATCTAAGCAAAGTCTATTACAACAGTGTCCTTCAGACTGAGCAAATTCACGGCAGGCTTATTGAAACCAAATGTTTCAATTCTGCAGGAACTGGCAACTCCCATTGACTGCGGATGGCTTTTAAGGAAATGAGTCTCCATTAATTAGCTGAGTGGTAGAGCATCTCTCTAAAGGACGCGGGTGGCGCTGTGGGTTAAACCACAGAGCCTAAGGCTTGCTGATCAGAAGGTCGGCGGCTCGAATCCCCGCAACGGGGTGAGCTCCCATTGCTCAGTCCCTGCTCCTGCCCACCTAGCAGTTCAAAAGCACATCAAAGTGTAAGTAGATAAAGAGGTACCACTCCAGCGGAAAGGTAAACGGCGTTTCCGTGCGCTGCTCTGGTTCGCCAGAAGCGGCTTAGTCATGCTGGCCACATGACCCGGAAGCTGTACGCCAGCTCCCTCGGCCAATAAAGCCAGAGTCGTCCACGACTGGACCTAATGGTCAGAGTTCCCTTTACCCTTTACATTCTGCATGGACTGGTTACATGGCAACATGTGCAAAGGGCTTGAGATATCTATTAGGTCCATAAATTACCATATAGCTTATATTCAACACAAAAAACAGTAACAATTTGTTGTTGACAAAGGACAGCTGGACATAGAAAGGGCCCCATTACCTTCAGTAGCTTAGGGCCTCATCAAACCTAAATCCTGCAAGTGAGCAACGGCTCTGGCGCTTACCCAAATTTCTGATTTCCCATTCTTCTTTTTGCACTTCTCTGCAACCAAATTGAGTTCTACCGTCGTTTCTGCGACCATTTCTGCGCTCTTGTCCTTCACAACGATGTGCATTACGCGCCCCCTGTGGATGTGAGCATCGAAAGTGCTGTTCCAAGGTGGGTACATGGTGGGCTTCTTCTGGATGTAGGATTGGCCGTTCTCTAGGGTCAAAAGGATTTATTTGAATAGTTGCATCTCACCCAGAGCAAATACTTTCCCCTCTGCCCCTACTTAAAAATGGGAAGCATAATGCTGGTGGTCAACAAAAGAGGTTCAAAGAGTCTCTCAAGGCAAATGTAGTATAAACACCGACACCTGGGAAACACTGGCCTGCGAGTGCTCCAATTGGAGAACAGCCTTTACCAAAGGTGTCCTGGGCTTTGAAGATGCCCGAACTCAGGACTAAAGGGAGAAACTAATCCAGAATGTGGCAGCTAGACTGGTGACTGGGAGTGGCTGCTGAGACCACATAACATCGGTCTTGGCTCCCAGTACGTTTCCGAGCACGATTCATAGTGTTGGTGCTGACCTTTAAAGCCCTAAACAGCCTTGGTCCAGTATACCTGAAGGAGCGTCTCCACCCCCATCGTTCTGCCCGGACACTGAGGTCCAGCACCAAGGGCCTTCTGGTGGTTCCCTCACTGCGAGAAGTTACAGGGAACCAGGCAGAGGGCCTTCTTGGTGGTGGCACCTGCCCTGTGGAACGCCCTCCCGTCAGATGTCAAAGAGAACAACAACTACCAGACTTTTAGAAGACATCTGAAGGCAGCCCTCTTTGGGGAAGCTTTTAATGTTTAACAGACTACTGTATTTTAATACTTTGTTGGAAGCCGCCCAGAGTGGCTGGGGAAACCCAGCCAGATGGGCAGGGTATAAATATATTACTATTACTATTATTATTATTGGAAGGCACATTTGGCAAATCCACACCGTGACCAACTCCCACCTGGAAACCTATGTCCCCAATGTGGATGGACGTGTGGATCCAGAATTGGCCTTCACAGTCACTTACAGACTCACTGTTAAAACTGTGTTTTTGGAAGACACTTGGCTATGAGGTATCACAGAAGAAGAAGAAGAAGAAGAAGAAGAAGAAGAAGAAGAAGAAGAAGAAGAAGAAGAGGAGGAGGAGGAAGAAGAAGACTCACCACCCCAAAAGGGAATGTGAATGTGACCAGTGGGCTGAAAAGCATTCCCTGTGCGTGTTTTAATGGGAATGTTCTATTGTGCATTTAAATTATGAATGCTCGCATTTAAATGGCCATGCAATCAATCAATCAATCAATCAATCAATCAATCAATAATATTTGGGTCATATGCCAAAGGGAAGCACCAGCACTTTGAGCCTGGAAACGGACAAGAAACCAATGCATTCTTTCCAAACAGGTGTGAAATGATCCCACCTCCTGGGTCTCCTATTAGCAGTTTAGCAGCTGCTTTCCAAACTAATTGGAGCTTCCATACAGTCTTCAAAGGCAGCCCCATGTAGAGCGCATTGCAGCAATCCATCCTGGAAGTAACCAGAGGAGGGACGGCTGAGGCTTGGCTTTGAAGCTCTTCATTCTGCAGAGTTCAAAGACACACCAGAGCCTTCCAAAAAGCAAATGTCACCAAGGCAGGCAGGTGGCCGAAGGCCGCAGGTATCCAGGTGGCCTGTTTGGTCAAAAGGAGTTTTGAAAGGGCAGCGAGTTCATCCTCTGCACGATTCATCAGGATTCATCAACCTTTCTTCTGAAGTGGCAACAGCAGCCCTACTCACCTGCGGGCTCCTGTTTCGGGGCAAGCTGCTTTGTGGGCAGCAGGTTCGAATAAAATAACAGAATCATCTGCAAGGCAGTTTAAGTTCAGCCCTGCTCCCTGAATTTCCTCCATTTCAACTCATAAATGCATGCAACATTGAGGAAGATGGAAGGCTTGCTTTGTTAAACAACTATCTGACTTTTAGAAGACATCTGAAGGCAGCCCTGTCTAGGGAAGTTTTTAATGTTGTTGCTTTTTTATTATTATTATTATTATTATTATTATTATTATTATTATTATTATTATGTCAGGAGCCACCAGAGTGGCTCAGGAAACCCAGTCAGATGGGCAGGGTATAATAATAATAATAATAATAATAATAATAATAATAATAATAATAATAATAATAATAATAATAAATCAGATCACATAGGGGCTCATTCACACTTTTGCTTGACCTGCATTATAATTAATTAATTAATTATACCATGATAAGAATGGGACGCGGGTGGCGCTGTGGGTTAAACCACAGAGCCTAGGACTTGCCGATCAGAAGGTCGGCGGTTCGAATCCCCGCGACAGGGTGAGCTCCCGTTGCTCGGTCCCTGCTCCTGCCAACCTAGCAGTTCGAAAGCACATCAAAGTGCAAGTAGATAAGTAGGTACCACTCCGGCGGGAAGGTAAACGGCGTTTCTGTGCACTGCTCTGGTTCGCCAGAAGTGGCTTAGTCATGCTGGCCACATGACCCGGAAGCTGTACACCGGCTCCCTTGGCCAATAAAGCGAGATGAGCTCCGCAACCCCAGAGTCGGCCACGACTGGACCTAATGGTCAGGGGTCCCTTTACCTTTACCATGATAAGATTTCAGAGCTAAAACAAGTCAAATAAAATACAGGGTGAAAACAAGACAGAATAAAATACAGGGTTGAAACACGTGAATAATTAAAACGAGAAAGCAAGACACATTTTAAAGGTTGTAGAATATTAATCAGCCAAAGAACTGTTTGAAGAGGAAGAGCATTCCACAAACTGGGAGCCACTGCAGAAAAGGCCCTGTTCTCACGGTGCTACCTTCTGGACCTAACATGGAGGAGGCACAGAGGATGGACATAGAAACTGGGACAGTTTCTATGGGGAGTACCAATGTTGTGTACTGATGAATTATGAAGAATAAGAAGAAGAGTTTGGATTTGATATCCCGCCTTTCACTCCCTTTAAGGAGTCTCAAAGCGGCTAACATTCTCCTTTCCCTTCCTCCCCCACAACAAACACTCTGTGAGGTGAGTGGGGCTGAGAGACTTCAGAGAAGTGTGACTAGCCCAAGGTCACCCAGCAGCTGCAGGTGGAGGAGCGGAGACGCGAACCCGGTTCCCCAGATTACGAGACTACTGCTCTTAACCACTACACCACACTGGGTCCAAGGACTTTTTTTGATGTTCTGTGGCTGTGTCTTACCTGCTGAGCCAATGTCGGCTATGCAGCAATATCTCTCTGGGTTTTCCAGACATCTCATAAGATCCTATTAATTGCCTCGAGACTAATGTGGATTGCAGTGTATTTAATTAACGGGCGGTAATATTGGCGGGTGGCGCTGTGGGTAAAAGCCTCAGCGCCTAGGGCTTGCCGATCGAAAGGTCGGCGGTTCGAATCCCCGCGGCGGGGTGCGCTCCCGTTGTTCGGTCCCAGCGCCTGCCAACCTAGCAGTTCGAAAGCACCCCCGGGTGCAAGTAGATAAATAGGGACCGCTTACTAGCGGGAAGGTAAACGGCGTTTCCGTGTGCGGCTCTGGCTCGCCAGAGCAGCGATGTCACGCTGGCCACGTGACCCGGAAGTGTCTCCAGACAGCGCTGGCCCCTGGCCTCTTGAGTGAGATGGGCGCACAACCCTAGAGTCTGGCAAGACTGGCCCGTACGGGCAGGGGTACCTTTACCTTTTAATATTGGCGGAGAAGGAGCCATTTCTTTTGAGGGTGTTCGTTTTAGCAATTTCAGCTTCTCCATCAAAGCAACATGATTCTATAAAGCTTCTTAGTTTGCTGGCTCTTTCCCCAACAAGACATTATGGGATGTGTGTGTGTATTAAGTTCCCTGACCTTTCTGTGCAAGACTAAATGCTTTTCTGCATTAAGAGGGATTATTTTAGCTTGCTGGCACTCTTGGATCTCAAGATTATTCTTTGGGTGTTTTGTTTTTTTTAAAGGACTACAATAGCACCTTTTTCCTTTCCTTTTAAAAGGTACTTTTCTTTGCCTAGCGCCACTGTTTTGAATAAAGACCTATTTTACACAGTTCTGAAATTGGAGTGCCAAACAGAATAAGGAAGATTCCTGGTGCTTTCCATTCATATTGAGGAGTTCTGGAATGGCCAAGTCCTAAATCGTTCCTTAAAATCGCGTGACACTCAAATACTGCTGCATGCTAAAAACAGGGAGAATAAACTAGCCCAAACCAGGCACTTTAAAATACAAATTATTTATTCTGCTTTTTTCTTTTTGAAAAGAAAGTCAAAATTCACTTGGGAAGGCTGCAAGTTGGGTGGGGCAGAGGAAGGCCGACTACAGAGAATTAGGGCCAGTGTCATAGCTAAGTGGCAGAACATCTGCTAGGCATGTAGAAGGCTGCGGGTTCAAGCCCTAGTTAGGGCTGGCAATGACTCCCTGTCTGAAATCCAAGAGAGCTGCAGCCAGTGCAGACAATACTGAACTCGATAGGATAAAGACAATTTCCAATGTTCCCATGCTTAATCCCTTCCTTTTACTGTAGTTGTTTCCCCCCTCAAAAGTAAAAAAGAGAAAAAAATCTAGCCAGAGCAAGCTGCTTTAAGGTAAAAGGTAAAGGTACCCCTGCCCGTACGGGCCAGTCTTGCCAGACTCTGGGGTTGTGCGCCCATCTCACTCAAGAGGCCAGGGGCCAGCGCTGTCCAGAGACACTTCCGGGTCACGTGGCCAGCGTGACATCGCTGCTCTGGCGAGCCAGAGCCACACACAGAAACGCCGTTTACCTTCCCGCTAGTAAGCGGTCCCTATTTATCTACTTGCACCCGGGAGTGGTTTCGAACTGCTAGGTTGGCAGGCGCTGGACGGAACAACGGGAGCGCACCCCGCCGCGGGGATTCGAACCGCCGACCTTTCGATCGGCAAGCCCTAGGCGCTGAGGCTTTTACCCACAGCGCCACCCGCGTCCCTCGCAAGCTGCTTTACCTCTTCTTATTTTATTGAAAGATTAAAAAAAAATACATAATTACAAGTGTACAGAGTAAGATAAGACAAAAAGAAGAAGAGAAGAAAAGAAATAGTACCCAGGCTTGTAGAAAACTTTGGGGAAAAGATGTGACAATTGACTCTTTCTCCCTGTGGGTAAAAAAAGCAGCTGACGGAGGGCAATTTTGGAGCTGCGAGATGAACAGGAGGGAAAGGATGAAGTAGTCTCTATCTGCTCTTTCTCTGACCCAACTGCAGGCTGCTCTGTTGCCACCAACCTGTGACAGGGTCTTTTCTGTGGTGGCTCCCCATTTGTGGAACGGCCACCCTGGTGAGGTACACCTGTCTTCCTCGTTATTGACTTTGAGGTTAATCTAAAATCATTCCTGTTTGATGGCTGAAAGACACTGCTCCTGGCATCTCTCAGATTCCGGCAACCCTGAGACAATTTTGTAAAACTGTTGTTAGAATATTTGAAAATAATCATGGCTGCGTTTGCCATTCCTGGACTCCTTTGGGAGGAAGAGAAGGATATAAATTGAATGAATGAATGAATGAATGAATGAATGAATGAATGGGCAACATAACAATTAAGGGGAATATAACAACAACAGCTAGGCTAGCTCAGTCGGTAGAGCATGGGATGTGGGTTCGAGTCCCACAGTGGGCATTTCTAAAAACAACAAAAACAACAACTCTGTATTGCAGGGAGTTGGACTAGAGGACCCTCGTGGTCCCTCCAACTTAGAATTCGATGATTCTATATGAATCTTGGTTTGAAAATAAAACCATGACAGACAAGAACATAGCTTACAGATTTGAAAATAAGGGACCAGCAGCCTCGAAAATAAGGGATCAGCAGCCAAAATAAGGGATCAACAATTACTTTGATAAAATACATATTTTGTTACGTGCAAATGGCTTTAGATACCTATTAGGTCCATAAATTACCATATAGCATATATTCAACACAAAAAAACCAGCAATAATTTGTTGTTGACAAAGGACAGCTGGACATAGAAAGGGCCCCATTACCTTCAGTAGTTTATTTAAGGGACATCATCAATAAGGGACAGCAGTGGGACATGGCGTTGGGATAAGGGACTGTCCTGCCAAATAAGGGACGCTTGACAGCTATGGACAAGAACATATAAAATACTGACTGCATCAGGCCTCCCTCCCTCATCTGAGACAGCTATTCCAGCAGTGGGAGAGCTGGGAAGCAGAACTCACTCCACCAGCTCCCTCCTGCCTCTGAACTGTGCCAGTCGGCCATTGTAGGAACACCAACTGTTTAGAAATTGGTGCCTGAGTTTTGATTTTCCTCTGCCCTTCTTGTTCCTTTCCCCTTGTGTGTCGTGCTTCTCTAGACTGTAACCCTGCAAGCTGGTGCTGTCTTGTTTTGACTACTGTATATGTAAGCCGCTCTGGAATGCTTTTAGGCTGGAGAGCAGGGTATACAAATGTTATCAATCGATCAACAATCAATCAATCAATCAATCAATCAATCAATGTTAATGTGTGATTTGAAACTCACTCTGGATAGACTCAGGCTGCATCTCCCCTAGTAGGGCTGGCCCAAGACATTTTGGCGCCTGAGGCGAACCACAAAATGGCACCCCCTTCCCCACCAGGGAAGAAGGGTGAGTGAAGATCAAGAACAATATTTGTGGGTGGCCCACAAATATCTACATTGGGATCTGCTGTCCCTGTGGATCCTGCCGCCTGAGGCTGTCACCTCCCCTTGCCTCACAGGTGGCCGGCCCTGACCATTGGCCACTGTTCAGCCTGGACACCGAGGTCCAGATCTGAAGGTCTTCTGGTGGTTCCCTCACTGTGAGAAGTAAAGGTACAAGGAACCAGGCAGAGGGCCTTCTCGGTGGTGGCGCCCGCCCTGTGGAACACCCTCCTGTCAGATGTCAAGCAGATAAACAGCTATATGACTTTTAGAAGACATCTGAAGGCAGCCCTGTACAGGGAATGTTTTTAACGTTTGACATTTCACTTGTGTTTTTAATATTTTGCTGGAAGCCTCCCAGAGTGGCCTGGGGAAACCCAGTTAGATGGGCGGCATATAAAAATAAAATAAAATGTTGTTGTTGTTACTAAGCGCATGCATGTTCAAACATAAGAATAAAGCACTTACCTGACTCCACTGCTTCCTTGACTATCACTGCGCAATACGGATCGATCACATCTCCCTGGGAAGGGAGATAGGGACCGCTGTCGTAGTTGGACAATCCAATACGGAGAAAAGGAGACATGTCGGTCTCTGCGAGGAGAAGAAAGCAGAGGTTATTGGAGAGGCTCTCGCAACTGCCTTGGCTGTTGTAGTTTTAGCGTCTGTGGCAAGCCTGGGAATTTAACAGAGAAGTTGCTTATCCATTCCGAACAGCATTTCCCCTCTCCGTCCCGCAACCCGCTGAGTAAGCAAAAGTTTCCCTGGCACATGGAGCGGCTATGCTGTCGCCCCTCTGTATCGCTGGAGGCTGCTGTGGTCACCAAGGCAATGGTCGGGAATGACATCTGATTGACTTTGCTGGGTGAAAAGCAGCAGGCAGCTGCAGGAGGGCTTGAAATTGGATATTGGATGCTGGAGGAGGGGGGGCGAGGGGGAAGCGATTGCTCAGTGAACCCTGCACAAGTGAATGCCAGGCACAAGCTGCCCCTGAAAGGGAACCAGGAGTAAAGCAGTTTGCAAAATGGCAAGGGGATGGCTGGAAGCTGGCATGGTTAAATAAGATGCTGTCAAGCGTTAAATCTGATATTTATACAGTGGCGGGTGGCTCTGTGGTCTAAACCACAGAGCCTAGGGCTTGCCGATCAGAAGGTCGGCAGTTCGAATTCCCGAGACGGGGTGAGCTCCCGTTGCTCGATCCCTGCTCCTGCCAACCTAGCAGTTTGAAAGCACCTCAAAGTGCAAGTAGATAAATAGGTACTGCTCTGGCGGGAAGGTAAACGGCGTTTCTGTGTGCTGTTCTGGTTTCACCATAAGCAGCTTAGTCATGCTGGCCAGATGACCCGGAAGCTGTCTGCAAACAAACGCCGACTCCCTCAGCCAGTAAAGCGAGATGAGCGCCGCAACCTGAGAGTCGTTCGCGACTGGACTTAACGGTCATGGGTCCCTTTACCTTTACCTTGGTTTCAAGCACCTTGGTACTCAAACAACTTGGAACCCAGACACTGCAAACCCAGAAGCAAGTGTTCTAGTTTGCGAACTTTTTCGGAAGCTGAATGTGCTCCCTGTTGAGTGTTATGCTGAGGTCTGTCTCGTTTTGCTGTTTATTTTGCATTTTTTATTTTGCGGCTCTTTTGTTGTTGTTTCTTGTGACTGTGTGGAACCCAGTTCAGCTACTGATTGATTGATTGTGTGACGGCAGTACATTGTTTCTTGCTTTCATTTCATGGCTCAATAGTCTTGTTAGATAGTAAAATTCATGTTAAATTGCTGTTTTAGGGGTTGTTTTTAAAAGTCTGGAATGGATTAATCCGTTTTGCATTGCTTTCCATGGAAAGTGTGCCTTGGTTTTGGAACACTTTGGTTTTGGAATGGACTTCCAGAACAAATTAAGTTTGAGAACCAAGGTACCACTGTATACTCGATGGAAATGAAGCCAGCCAGTGAATGGGACCTTGGATAGGTGACCCTCACCGGAAGGGAAAACAAACACAGACCCTCCAAGTGTCCCTATTTTCCAGGGACAGTGCCGGATTTACAGAAGCCGTCACGGTTTCTGATTTGATCCCAGAATGTCTACCGAGAAAGCCTTGTGGCTGGCCTAAGATCACCCAGTGAGCTTTGTGGAGGAGCTGGGATTCGAACTCTGGTCTCCCAGGTCCTAGTTTGGCACTCTAACCTCCACGCCACCATGTCATGGAGGGGGGTGGCATTCACACTCCTTGATGGGGTGTCAGCAGCAGCAGTGAGGAGACAATGGAGTCAGAGGCAGACCGGGAAGAACATTGGCAGCATCATGCCAAAGGCCAACTCAATTTATTATTTTAATTATTGTGTTTCTATCCCACCTTTTTCTTCAAGGTGGCATCCATGGTTCCCCCCTCCTCATTGAGTCCTCACAAGAAGAAGAAGAAGAGTTTGGATTTGATATCCTGCTTTATCACTACCCGAAGGAGTCTCAAAGCGGCTCACATTCTCCTTTCCCTTCCTCCCCCACAACAAACACTCTGTGAGGTGAGTGAGGCTGAGAGACTTCAGAGAAGTGTGACTGGCCCTAGGTCACCCAGCAGCTGCATGTGGAGGAGCGGGGAAGCAAACACGGTTCACCAGATTACGAGCCATTTCAGGGCCACCATATATCTTTGGGGTAGGGGCCAAGTAGAGGCCGGGTCCCCCAATGTCCACAAATTGCGAAGGGGAAATGTGGAGCTGACCGCAGCCCAACTCCAGTGGCCAGCTCCTTCCCTCCTCCTTCTGTATGGCTGCTGTGTTTGACTCTGCCTGCATCTCCTCCCAGTGTCCTGACGTCCCATGTGTGAGGTCCACGCGCAACGTTGGCTCTCCCAATCACCCTGGCAAGCTGGTGCCTCCGATCCCAGCAGTTCCTCCACATTTAACATAGGGTGGCACTTACTTTGTGAATTCCCTGCCTTGCTTATGTCTGCAAGGGAGCACAAAATTGTCACAGGTGAAGTTCCTGTTGCCGAAAAACCTAACCACTGAGTGAGTGGGGTGGGGTGGGGTAATCATTTTGCAGTACTTCCTGCCCATATCTACGTGAGAATGAAAGGCTCTGAGACCACCAAGTCCACTTGATCCCAGCAAAGGGCAAGGAAAAAAAGACCATGTAAAGAGAAAATGGAATCTGGTCCCCATGAAATGAATCACCCTTCACACCAAAGGGTATGAATACAGAAGAGACACCATAGACACATAATTAAACAGTGGTGGGTTGCATCCAGGCTCATTTAGTCCAGCCCCACTGAAATCAATGAGGCTTCAGCCATGTTTAACTTGGCCCGTTGATTTCAGTGGGACTCGAATTCAGCCAGCTTAGTTTGCTCCAGTGCAAATAAATTGCAATAAAGAATGATCAGGTTGTTACGAGTTTAACCTTGTCAGTTTTCTGCATAGAGTTTTGGCAGAATTGACAGAGGTAAAGAGGAAAACCTCCCCACCCCCAACCTACAAATACACACCATCTACATACTAAAGAGTAGAAGATCTTTTAGCTTGAGATGTTATCAGTTTTTTTTCCACTGGAACAAAACTGCAGCAGTGACAATCATAAAAACCTCCTTTCTTTGCACTGAACACGACTCCAAATTAAGCTCTTACATATATCTTCCTTAGGCTGCAATCCTTACCTGGGAGCAAGTCCCATTGAACTTAATGGGGCTTATGGCTGAGTAGACCTGCAGAGGATTGTACTGCGCAAGTCTTTTTTTTACCAAGTTAAACTAGTGCAGCTGCTCTGTGCCGCAGGGATGTTGCGTTTATTTTGCAGTGAATGAACAACTGAACCAAACGGGGGCCCATTCAGGTTTAATTCAGCATGAAAAAAATGCCTTGAGGAATGAATGGGCATGATAAATGGTGCCGGTTCCATTCTCCTGCTCATAGCGGTTTGTCACTCATTCACAGCAAGCTCACCTTTCTCTAGTGAAAGCAACTGATCTTATTTTATTTTCCCAGAATGCCTAGGGCACTGCATGCTTTGGGGACAAGAGCAAAAGGTGACCGACTGTGTGTGTGTGTGGAGGGAGTGGCATTTTCTTCCAGAATGTTCCAGAATGACACAGTGATGGGGGAGGCCTGGGAAATTGCCTGCCTGCAATTGCCTGCCTGCCAACCTGTCTATCATGCAAGCAAGCCATCAAAAACAAACAAGGCTGCAAACCTAAGGCCACTTAGAATCACAGAATTGTAGAATTGGAAGGGACCGTGAGGTTGATCTAGCCCCAACTTCCAGCAATGCAGGGATCTCGATCCACTGACCCACTGGGCTACTGGGAGTAAGACCCATTGAATCTAATAGGACTTACTCCTTAGTAGGCAAGCTCATCCCAGGAGACAACAAATTTGTTCATAAAAAGTCTATGTGAAAACTCCTCTGCATTTGAGAATATGTTCTTTCCAATGTGCACATTTTCCCATGCAATTTTGCCTAGCATTCACTTATTTTGCAAGCGATTTCCCTGGAACCCAATGCATTTCTGTGCATCATTATTTTCACCAATTGTTGTTGTTGTTTAGTCGTTTAGTCGTGTCCGACTCTTCGTGACCCCATGGACCAGAGCACGCCAGGCACTCCTGTCTTCCACTGCCTCCCGCAGTTTGGTCAAACTCATGTTAGTAGCTTTGAGAACACTGTCCAACCATCTGATCCTCTGTCGTCCCCTTCTCCTTGTGCCCTTCATCTTTCCCAACATCAGGGTCTTTTCCAGGGAGTCTTCTCTTCTCATGAGGTGGCCAAAGTCTTGGAGCCTCAGCTTCACAATCTGTCCTTCCAGTGAGCACTCAGGGCTGATTTCCTACAGAATGGAGAGGTTTGATCTTCTTGCAGTCCATGGGAATCTCAAGAGTCTCCTCCAGCACCATAATTCAAAAGCATCAATTCTTTGGCGATCAGCCTTCCTTATGGTCCAGCTCTCACTTCCATACATCACTACTGGGAAAACAATACCTTTAACTATATGGACCTTTGTTGGCAAGGTGATGTCTCTGCTTTTTAAGATGCTGTCTAGGTTTTTCACCAATGCCAACTGCCTTTTTGAACATACTTTTCACAAATAAGAACTTTTTTTTTTTTTTTGCATCCATTCTTTGGCTGGATAACTGCACTGCAAAATTCAGAGAAAGTGCGGCTTCAGAAGGAGAGCTGTGTTTCGATTCACGTTGAGAAGAGTGAATTTTGAAGGTGAACCAAATGAATTTCTCCAATGGCTCGATTAAGTGCAGAAAGTCCTCATATTAGGGGAGTTGTGGAAAAGACGAGTTAAGATGCTGCACGTTTGCAGATAGACTCAAGCCGTGACATTTCTCTGCCTTCAAATTGTGCAACTTCTGCCAGCGCTTTCCACCTCTGGGTGAAACTGGTCTGGAAAACGAGCTGTCCATCCTTTAATTAAACACCCACACCAGCCACAGAGAGGACCAAAGGTATCTAATGGCACACTTGGCATCTAACATTACCTCTTTTGTATTCTGCACTCCTTGCTTAGAGTCTACCGGAGAGCCAGTGACTAAACGATCAGATGTCATGGACTGGCTGGATGCAGAGGAATGGTGAGAGGTACCAGTTGGGGAACCCC